CAGGGAGTGCAGTGGAGGATGGCCCCAAGTGCTTGGGCCCTGCACCCCAAGGGAGACCAGGAGAAGTACCTGGCTCCTGCCATTGGATCAGCACGGTGCGCTGGCCGCAGCGCGCCAGCCGCGCGGCCATTGGGAGGGTGAACCAACGGCCAAGGAAGACCTTTCTCTCTGTCTCTCTCTCTCTCACTGTCCACTCTGCCTGTCAAAAAATAATATAAATAAATAAATAAAATAAAATAAAATAAAATAAAATAAAATAAAATAAAACAAAACAAATATGAAGAGAGAAGGCCAGAATGAACTTCCTGGTATGGAACAATTGGAACTGTCAATGTAAACTCATGACTACGTGTACATATAGAATTAAAGAAATGGATACAAATGTGTATTTGTGTATACATAAATATATTTCCTAGCTCAGTTCACTGAGAAGGCCTGAAAGCAACGTTCCCCTCCCTAAGTAACAGCAAGCGTACCTCAAGTGAGATCTTGGGCTTTCAAATACCGTGCTCCAACAAAAACTAAAGCACCTTAGAGAAATGGGTAATTCGGCGCTGGGGCAGGGAAAGTAAAAGAGGAATCTAAACATCCTATGATGCTAGAAAGTAAAAAAACTTTAAAAAATGGTGGGAGTGTGCTAAAAACATACAGAATTCAACTTTAAAGAGCGTCCATTGGCCCAAAATGAGACAATTGAAGCAATAAGATTATATACAGAAGAATAAGAGTCTGTTAGTCCATATTGATATAAATAGTCAACAATGGACCATACATAGGTCAGTAGTCCCATAAGGCTGAAAACTCCCTACTGTCCAGTTATTAACAGCCACTGCAAGCTGTAGCTCAGTACATTACTCACCTGTGTGTGGTGATGGTGGCATCAACAAACCTACTGTGCTGCCAGTTGTATGAAACTACAGCACATATGAGACAGTACAAACACTTGATAAGAAATGATATGTTACTGGTTTTATATTTACTACACATTTTTAATAATCACTTTTCAGAGTATACTCCTACTTATTAAGAACAGTTACGATAAATTGTATGGTGGGTTATGCCGGCAGCAGTCTACTGTCTTGTGTTACTGTGCCTCTTGATGGCATTAAACGGTCATGTTCAGTGGCTGATCTAACAGCTAGATTTTTCCAAGTGCACTCTATCATATTTGCACATTGATAAAATCATCTAACAACACATTTCTCAGAACATATCACCAGCAATAAGCAACACATCATTCTATTAATATTTAAAGAAGAAAAAGCTCTCTCACAGGAGATGTCCACTGAAAATGTAGAGGTATAATGAATATAGGAAAAAAATCACTATTTGGCAAATACTATCCAGAGTGTCAGGAAAGGATTACCAATGAATGCTGTAACTGGTAGGGGAATGTATCATAGGATATTTACACAACCATAAAGTATCATACGGACAGTCATAAGATAAATATCTTTTACAATGGGGAAAAGTAACAACTTTACAGTGAAAAATCTAGATGGCAATTCTTGTACCAAGTGAACAAAGTTTATGTCACCAGTTAAAAGGGACAATCATGAACCTCCTGAACTATGCACTAAGGCCATATAAACTTTGGTGTTATTTTGCTAAAAGAAACAAAAACTTGAATTTAATAATGAAAAATGAAATACAAAAAAAACAAAGAGACTTTCCATAAATAACTGACCAGCATTCTTAAAAGTGTTCATATGTTAGAATAAAGGAACTAAGTAAAGGCAATGTGTGAACTAAATTTGGACCAGGAAGAGTATCCATGGGACAACTGCTAAAATTTCCAAGAAGTAAATAGGCTTGATAATAGTAATGCCTATTTGAATTCCTAATTGCATTAATGCTAATTCCTTACTCTTGATTATCATCATATGAATACATAAGATATTAGTATTGGGTAAACTGTATATTGGAATTCTCTGTTTACTTTTTTATCACTTTATTAACTCTGAAATTATCCCCAAATGGAAAGATTTTACATATATAACCTAATACTCTGAAGTTCCCTTCTGGCCAACTCTTCTGCCATCTGTGAAGCCCGCAATTTCTCTTCACACTGATCCTTTTCAGATTGCCTCCAGACGTCATGTTCCGCTTTCATTTTCTCCAAATCGGCTAATTTGTTCTCAAGTTCTAGCCTAAAACAATAGACGATAATTATGTTCAAAAAAAACTACAATAAAGATGATATGACAGCAAAATGTTTCATTTGTAAGGAGATTTAACACAAGTAAGGTAATTACTTACTTTTCATTTTGTAATGCCACAAGTTTTTGATAACCTTCTTCCTTGGCAGCTTGTACTTTACGTATTAATTCACGATCCTTTTCTACTAAGAGCATTTTGTGATGTTCAACAGCTGATGTGAGAATTTCATTGTCTGACTGTAGTCCTAGTATTTTTCAGGAGACAAATGTAGCATTTTCAAGGTTAAGATGAAAAATCATCATTAACAGTAAGCATTCATAAACTGATAAGAAAATTAAAAGAATATAGACAATCTCTAGATATGAATTCCCAAAGTCCTTATATCATTGATAAAACTGATTTAAACAGATTTAAAATATAAACCCAAGGAGGATGGAATCCCATTTTCAAGTTACACTTAATTTATTTATTAATCAAATAACTATGACAATAAACTTAAGAATCATTTTTTAAAAAACTTAGATAACAGAATGAACAAAATATTCAACGTATAAGCAAAAATATTCCATATGTACTTCAAAATTAAAATTCAGGAGCAGCAGTGTGACGCAACAGGTTAAATCACTGCCTAAACACTGGCATCCCAGTTTGAGTTCCAGCTGTTCCACTTCCGATTCGGCTCCTTGCTAAGATGCCTGGGAGGCAGCTGAGGATGGTCTGAGTGCATGGGCCCCTGCCACCGCTGTGGGAGACCTGGATGGAGTTCCAGGTTCCTGGCTTCAGTCTGGCCCAGCCCTGGCCACTGTGGCTATTTGGGGACGAACCAGCAGACGGAGGATCGCTCACTCGCTCTCCTCACACTCTCTCTCCATCTCAAGTCATGTCTATAACTCTGCCCTTCAAATAAATAAATTTTTAAAAAAAGAAAAGAAAACATACATTTTTAAAAACCAAATTCAACTAAGGTAAGAATTTGGAAATAAAATGTGGCTGATATATTTTTAATAATTTGAGTTTATACCTGGAAATAATGAAAACACGGAAATCATATATACCATCCAGTTCACTTTGAATCTATTCCTTTCTCTTTCTAGCTCACTCTTAGCTCTTGCTGCCTCCAGTTTGATGTCTGTTATTTCTAGTTTGTTTGAATGTTTAAGTTCTTTTACCTGTTAATAAGTAAGAGATCGAAATTACTACTGGTCATTTTCTTGACATTTAGTACTTAACCAAAAATCTAAGTGCAAATGAGAAAACACTTTGGGAGTAGGGTATGGACTATAAGAAGGAAGGCTTTTCGGTGCTTGGTATAGTCCTTGGTAACAAGGAGACACCAAGAAAACAATTCTTAATAGAACTGAGGCATTTCTATACAAATACATCTTAAAAGACTTAATTCACCAATGGCCGCCTATAACTAGTACTCAAACAGTATTTTTCACTTTGTGTTTCTACGTGGGTGCAAACTGTTGAAATCTTTACTTAATATATGCTAAACTGATCTTCTGTATATGGGGAGAATTGAAAATGAGTCTTGATGTGAATGGAAGGGGAGAGGGAGAGGGAAAGGGGAGGGTTGCAGGTGGGAGGGAGGTTGTGGTGGGGGAAGCCATTGTAATCCGTAAAATGTACTTTGGAAATTTATATTCATTAAATAAAAGTTGAAAAAAAAAGATTCAATCCAATAGTCAATGGTCAAAATATCTTCAGACTAAAAAACTGAAACCTTGTTTTCAAGAAAGCATCAGAGACAACGAAGAAATGGTGGGTAGAAAGAACATACAGTTTATCATTGAGGAATAACATCACACGGTCTGCTCTGCAAACAACCAGGTATGATGTTGCAGACAGAAAAGAGGGAGATGTGAACTCTGCTGAGGAGTGGCAGGAATAAACTTAATATGCCACAAAGGTTGTTTATCCTGGGGCCGGCACTGTGGCACAGCAGGTAAGGCTGCTGCCTGCAGTGCCAGTATCCCATATGGGCGCCGGTTCGAGTCCGGGATGCTCCACTTCCGATCCAGCTCTCTGCTATGGCCTAGGAAAGCAGTAAAAGGTGGCCCAACTCCTTGGGCCCTGCACCCACGTGGGAAAGCCAGGGGAAGCTCTTGGCTCCTGGCTTTGGATCGGCACAGCTCTGGCTATTGTGGCCAACTGGAAATGAACCAGCAGATGGAAGACTTCCTCTCTTTCTCTCTGCCTCTCGTTCTCTCACTGTGTAACTCTGTTTTTCAAATAAATAATTTTTTTAAAAAAAAGGTTGTTTATCCTGTTAACTACTGATGACACATTGTTTCATAAGTTAACTCTAAATGTAAATGTGTTTAAGAACTGAAAGGAAGGAAATCAATTAACAGACAAGGAACGAAGAGGGCAGGATGGAAAAATCAGTTGAATTTGGTAACTAAATAATTTGTTTGCATGTTTATATGTGTTGTGTATGAATGTAGAGGGAGCAGGAAGGAGCAAGAAAACTTGTGTAAACCTAATTTAATTTTCTTTTTGCCAAAACTTGATTTCTTTACAGCCTCAAGTGAATGAGTAATTGTCAATGCTTTTCAAATAATTAAACCATTATATATCATTTTTTAATCTTGGCTAAGACATTTCTTTTGAAGGCTGAATAATTCTAGTTCATAAGTAGTAATCACTCAATAAATATGTACTGAACACTATTATGTGCCCAGTAGTATTTTAGGAAATGGACATAGAACAACCAGAAAACTTTGTCCCTCCAGTCAAAGGCACTACTCTCTAACATTTTTCATTGTCTTACCTCTGAAAAGGTGCTTTTAAAATTCGATTAATATAAAAATAATTTAACTGAAACAGATCTACAGGTATAAATCTATAGTCTCATATTAAATACATAAAATTATGGATTCAGAGCAAAAAAATTATAAAAATTATACAAGTTAAATATGTAAAATGTGAGATGTAGGAAGAGGAGGGTAAAAGGTAATTTACAGTCCAATAAAACTCCATAAAAACTGAGGCTGAGAGTTAGACACAAACCAAGAAAAGGCCCTACAGTCAAAAAGGATAAGGAAAGAAGACACAGGTGTCTTACTGGGAGAGATTTCATCTGTGAAGGTCCTGCAAACATTGCAAGGAATGGGTCTTGAAAAATCTTCAATTAAGAAAATCAAAAGAAAGGTAAGTATTATATTGCCTTTATACTTCTAGCTACAAAAAGATACCCTTCCAAATTAACTTGTTGACTTTTAAAATGATACTACATAAAATGGCTACCTTGTGCTGACACTAGTTTTGTATTTTTAAATCTCCTTTCTGAAGTTCTTTTCTAGAAAAAAAAAAAACTCACAAAATGATATGTAACTACATGAACACAACTAAGAAATTATAATTATTTTAATACTTAAACTTCCTATAGATTGGACTTTATTACATTATAATTTCATGAATAGATTAAATTTAAATTATAAATGCTTTAAAACTGAAAAATACAAGTACAATGAAAATCTAATCATTGTATGACAAATGTAATTATAACCTGATATTATATGCTAACTGAAAAGGTAAGAATGACACAGGCAGTTCATTAACAAACCACAATGTAGCTGCTTTCAACTCCTAGTGGAAAATTATAGAGCCATCTTATTGTGTGAAAAGCTGGTGGCATTTCACAGTAACTTCAAGAATTAGGGAAAAGAAAACTATTTTCTAACTCATTTCACCTTGAAATTTACTGAAATGAGAAAATATTTTCAACTAAACTGTATTCCTGAACCTGAAAGGACACTGGACAGTACAAGTTTGACTTCCAGATCTATTTTTGCTATTAAACTAGTGGTATGTGCCCAAGCAATTCACTCATCTTCTCCATACTCAACTATAAATTTGAGGGTTTTTTCAAGTGTCATTTCTATAATCCTAAATAATGCATTTATACTAACAACAACTGTTAACTCTAAAAATATACTAAAAGAACTAAATTTTATGTTTAAAATGAAAAAGTTACATATTATTACATAATAATGACAATTAATAGTGTTTTACTTTGAGTAATTGGAATCAAATCCTAAGTAGTCATAGTAAGGGTTTCTTTCTACCTTGAGATCTCTGAGTCTTAATCTTCTTTGTGATCAGGTCCCGAAAATCTAGGAAATCTAGGGCCCTTTCTCTAAATAAGATCACAATGTTAAAATGTTTAATAAAATTTTAAGAGATTCAAGGCCCTAGTATTTGACGATTACTACTAACAAAATTGTAATAAATGACAAAAACAGTGTAACAGTCATGTTACAGGGGTACAGAATCTGTTAAAATATGCATGTCTACAAAAAGCATATTACCAAACAATACATGCAAGAAACAGCTTTTAAGTGTAATTACTCAAGAAGATCTATATGCAAATTCCTAAGAAATGTCCTTTCAGTTCTGATCATCATCCAATTTCTAAGATGTTAAGACCTCAGGAACTTAGCTAACAAGATAACTGTGTGCAACTGCTTCCTACAACTATTTTTAAGTTCTAAAGATCAAGTATTTCATGAGGTAACCAGAAGAACTGACCTTATTGAAAGTGAAATAGTTTCAAGGTCATCATTTGCAAGCCATCTTTAATAATATCTTTTAATAAAGGACACTGATAGTCACACTGACATAACTTTGCTTTAGAACCTAAAAAACATTTACAAATTCGAGTAACACCCCAGGTGTTCTTTTGCATTGCAAAGAACCAGTTTGCTAGAATTGCAAAATATTGATTAAAATTTCAAGTTGCAAAGAAAAACTGTGACAGTCATGTTTGAAATATTATTTTAAACTGATCTTTCCCATGGAACCCTGGTTTCTAATTCTGCATTTATATGCAAAATAATGCAAGTATGCTTTTAGAAAGACAAGCAACTCTTAGCACTATATGCTCATAAATAAGCACAAGAGAAATAAATAACACTATACTAAACTGCTGCTCTTCCTTCAGGAGAAATCATCTAATACTGTAACTCCAAAAGGCAACAGAGTGGAGAAGCATATATGTACAGAAAAAAAAAGGAAAGAAATCAGAATCTGCCCACAGCTGAGTCAACGGCTCAAGTGAAAAGTGCTGCAGGAGAAGCACTTGGTAACCTCCCAGAGAGTGAGGAGCTCCAGGAGGAAACCGCATTCCCAATGTCCTGTCACTACACCTAAGGGTCTGGCTATTCCAGTAGTACAGTCTAGCTACTCAAGTTCAGAACAATTTGTTGCAAGCATTGAGTACTCAATATTATTTTACAAAATGGAAAATAATTATACCAGAATTAGAAACCTGACAGAACTGTCCTCTATCCTGAATTAGCTTCTTTGTGTTTTCCGTGCACTTTTTTGTAAACTACAATTATAGCATTCAATATGTATCTGCTGAATGTATAAGTAACCTACTTAATAAGGAAACAATCAAATTAATAACTTATTGGGGACTGCACTGTGGCGCGGTAGGCTAAGCCTCTTGCCTGTGGTACCGGCATCTTATATGGGCGCAGGTTTGAGTTCCGGTTACTTCACTTTCGACCCAGCTTCCTGCTAATGGCCTGGGAAAACAGTAGAAATTGGCTCAAATTTTGGGCCCCTGCACCCATGTAGGAGACCCAGATAAAGCTCCTGGCTCCTGGCTTCAGAGCAGCCCAGCTCCGGCCATTGGTGTTCATTTGGGGAGTGAACCAGCAGATGGAAGATCTCTCTGTATCTCCCTCTCTCTGTCTGGAACTCTGCCTCTCAAATAAATCAATATTTAAAAAAGATAACTTATTTTCTAGCAAGTCACAATCTTAAACTGCCCCTTTTCATCTATGAGAAAACTGGCTCCCAATGATATTAAGTAGTTGGCCTAAATTTACAATTACTAATACAGTGAGGAAGATAATCAATGGCTCCAAATTCTATATTCTTTCTGTTACATCATTTTCTTATTTAAGCATATCATTAGTATATAACCATTGCCATTATCATTTTCATCACTAACTGTTAAAATTCTTCTGATTAAAACTTTCTCATCTGAGTTATAAACACTGTCTCTTAGTCTTCTCAGTCAAAGAACTGGGAGATTATAATGACTATGTTATTACTTTAGACAAATTCCTATATTTCTAAGAGGCAACAGAAAAAACCTTTTGGTCCGGGAGCCACCTTTGTTTTAAGATAGCGTTATACAACTCTGCCCTGATAGGAATGCATGGCTTTACTGACCCACAAACCAGTCTTATTTCCAAATTTTTAGAGATGCCCAAATCCTAATAATATTTAATATTTAAGTAATTATTTGCTAACTCTTGTGCATAACATTTCATTTAATTTTTGCTACAACTCAGTAAGGTAAGGATTACTTCCATTTTATAGAAAAGATACTAGTTTCTTAGAAAAATAAATCGCCCAAGGTCACACACCTAGTAAGGGGAAGAATTAAAATTTGAATGCAGTCTTTCAGACTCCAGAGCTGATACTCTATAAGATGTATACTACTCTATTTCTGGTTACTAGATTTCCTGCACGTATTATATTTGAGGTAAAAACAACTTTAAGTATCTAAAAAAAAAATATTTGTGGGGCCAGTGCTGTGGTGCAGTGGGTTAACGCCCTGGCCTAAAGCTCCAACATCCCATGTGGGCACCAGTTCTAGTCCCGGCTGCTCCTCTTCCAATCCAGCTCTCTGCTACGGCCTGGGAAAGCAGTTGAAGATGGCCCAAGTCCTGAGGCCCCTCGCCCATGTGAGAGACCCAGAGGAAGCTCCCGGCTCCAGGCTTCAGATTGGCACAACTCTGGACGTTGCAGACATCTGGGAAGTGAACCAGCAGATGGAAGACCTCTCTCTGTGTCTCTACCTCTCTCTGCAACTCTTTCAAATAAATAAAATAATTCTTAAAAAATCTTTGTATTCAAAAGACATTTTGGGAACATTCAAATTATTTTGATGCTTTAAAGATAACATAAATGCAGATTATGTATTAATATTAATTTATTCACTGAAGAAATACTTATAGAGTAACTATTTTGTGCCAGCATTATCTTAGGAGTCAGAGATAAGTGTAGTGGCAAAAACAATGTCCCTGCTCTCTTGGAGCTTACATTTGGTTGAGGAGGAAGGGTGGAGGGAAAGAAAACGAGAGAGGAAAAAAAAGTAAGGGGCCAGCGCTGTGGCGTAGCCAGTAAAGCCACCACCTGCAGTGCTGGTATCCCAATCAGGCGCCACTTCCGGATCCAGCTCTCTGCTATGCCTGGGAAAGCAGTAGAAGATGGCCCAAGTCCTTGGGCCCCTGTACCCACGTGGGAGACCTGTAAGAAGCTCCTCACTGTTGTGGCTTTTGGGGAGTGAACCAGCGGATAGAAGACTCTCTCTCTCTCTGCCTCTCTGTAACTCTGCCTTTCAATAAATAAATAAATAAATCTTAAAAAAAGTAAAAAAAATCAGATAATATTAAAATCTGTGAAGAAAAATAAAGAAGATAAAGAAAATAGTGAAGCAGAAGAGGGAAGGTATTAATTTCCAAAGTGAAGCCCAGGTAGGCCTCTGTGATTAGTTAATATCTGAAGACGAAGAAAGAAGCTATGCAGGGACCTTAGAGAAAAATGCCATGCATACATGCACAAAGGCCCTCATGTAGAGGAGAACTAGCCCAAAGAAGAGCAAAAAGGCCAGTGAGAGTGGAGAACAGGAAGTGAAAAGGAGGAAAAATGGATGGTGATGGCTGAGGAAAGAATAGCAAGAGCCAGATCATATAAGGCTCTGAGTGGACAGAGTGGAAACACCAGTTAGAAAGTTATCACTAGGGGCCGGTGCTGTGGCGTAAAGGGTAAAGCTGCCACCTGCAGTGCTGGCATCCCATATGGGCACCAGTTCAAGTCCCGGCTGCTCCACTTCCCTTCCAGCTTCCTGCTATGGCCTGGAAAAACAGTAGAAGACAGTACAAGTCACCACAGCTCTGGCCATTGTGGCCAATTGGGGAGTGAACCAGCAGATGGAAGACCTCTCTCTTTCTCTCTGCCTCTCCTTCTCTACGTAACTCTGACTTTGAAATAAATAAATAAATCTTTAAAAAGAAAGAAAATTATCATTAAAAACTGAGCCTAGAGGAAAGCATTCAATTTAGCAATTAAAACACCAGTTGGGACACCCACACCCTCTGTTGGAGTGCCTGCATTCAATTCCTGGTTCCGGCTCCAAATTTCAGCTTCCTGTCAGTGCAGTCCCTGGGAAGTAGCAAATGATAGCTCAAGTGGTTGGCTCCCTGCCCTCCACTTGGGAGACTTATTTTAAGTCTCTGACTCTAACTTTGGTCTGGACCAGTTCCCACTATTTCAAGTGTCTGAGGAGTGAACCAGCAGATAGAAGCTTTTACTGTCTGTTTACAATCCTGCCCCATCTGTGTCTTTCAAATAAACAAAACTGAAAGGTAAAAATTGGACCTAAAGAGATCAGGACACAGTGAAAGTGATAAGAATTAGATTCTCCATGTATTTGGAAGGTAGAATGACAGGATAAAAAGGTTTCAGTATAGAGACTCAAACTATTGAAGCACAAAATTTGTCACTGTGCAGTATGAAGAATGAAGTATTAGATTTACTTTATTGATCAATGCATTAGTTTCTTGGAAAGTACAATGATACACTAAAACAAGTTTCAATATAGAGAACTAAACTACCATAAACAAAGTCCATTATCATTCTACATTATAAAGCAAACAAGCTGGGCCGGCGCCACGGCTCACTAGGCTAATCCTCCGCCTTGTGGTGCCGGCACACCGGGTTCTAGTCCCGGTCGGGGTGCCGGATTCTGTCCCAGTTGCCCCTCTTCCAGGCCAGCTCTCTGCTGTGGCCAGGGAGTGCAGTGGAGGATGGCCCAAGTGCTTGGGCCCTGCACCCCATGGGAGACCAGAAGAAGCACCTGGCTCCTGCCATCGGATCAGTGCGGTGCACCGGCCACAGCGTGCCAGCCGCGGTGGCCATTGGAGGGTGAACCAACGGCAAAGGAAGACCTTTCTCTCTGTCTCTCTCTCTCTCACTGTCCACTCTGCCTGTCAATAAATAAATAAATAAATAAAAAATTTTAAAAAAGTAAACACGCACTCTAAAGAATGAAAAGAAGCATAAGACAACTTACTTTACTTGTCAATGTAGTTATTTCTCCTTCAGCTTTATGCAATTTACTAATTAAAAGAGTATTTTGTTCACTGTTTGATTGTAGCTCTTTTTCCAAGTGTTCAGCATGTAGCTTAGCTGACTGTTTTTCAGCCTTTTGGTAAAACAAAGTATTTTTAAAATTTTTCAATTATATAAAAATAAAATAAGCACTACTTTAAATACATGTATAATTATACAAGAATTATTCAAAACCACAACAATACTAGCATGGACCAAAGTAGCAAGAGTTTCCTTTATCAGCAGAATCCAAATTAAAGATATTTGCTACAGTAAATATGCAAGAAAGGTATCTGGACAAACAACATGCCAACTGTCATCAACAAAATGAAAGCTCATATACTTCTCCATGAAATAAAGTACTTAAGGGGTTCATTTGATATGCAGTCACTTTTAATGTTGACATACTTCAAACATTTTTTGGTGTCCAGTCTATAACAGATATGAAAAAACATAATGTAGAAGAAAGGGTCAATGACAATAGTACTTACCCAAAGTGAAAACTTTTAATAAAATATCAACAGATTTTAGAATTTAAAAGGAAGAGGGCAAGACAAAACTACAAAATCCTCAGTGAAGCTGAGGCCTTTTGAATATGAGCAGAAAAGCTCCTGACACCATCACATAATTAAAATCTTAACAAGGGGCCAGTGTGGTCACACAGCAGGTTAAGTCGCCATCTGCAATGCCTGCATCCCACAAGGGTGCCAGTTCAAGTCCTGGCTGCCGCACTACCAATCCAGCTTCCTGTATATGTAACTGGGAAGGGTAGTGGAAGATGGCCCAAGTACCTGGGACCCAGCCACCCACCTGAGAGACCTGGATGAAGTTCCTGGTTCCTAGGTTAGATCTGGCTGTTTTGGCCAACTGAGGAGTGAACCAGAGGATGGAACATCGAGCTTACTTGCTCCTTTTCTCTCTCTCTCACTCTCTTCCTTTCCTTCTCTCCTCTCCCCCTCTCTCTTTCCTTGTTTTGCTCTCTCTGTAATTCTGCCTTTCAAACAGAAATAAATACATCTAAAAAAAAAAGTCTTAACGTCTAAGTTGTCAAAAATGTTCTGATAGATAATACAGTACTCTTTAATGAGGGATGCAAGCTTTTAAAAATATTTCAACAATTAAAACAAAAAATGTTTTGGCATTTAAATCTCCTTTCTTGGGGTCAGCACTGTGGCGTAGTGGGTGAAGCCAACACCTGCTGTGCCAGCATCCTATATGGGCGTCGGTTTAAGTTCTGTCTGCTCTACTTCCAATCCAGCTCTCTGCTATGGCCTGGGAAAGCAGTAGAAGATGGCCCAAGTCCTTGGGCCCCTGCACCCGTGTGGGAGACCCAAAAGAAGCTCCTGGCTCCTAGCTTCAGACTGGTGCAGCTCTGGCCATTTCAGCCAATTGTGGAGTGAACCAGTGGATGGAAGACCTCTCTCTCTCTCTGTCCGCCTCTCTGCCTCTCCTTCTCTGTGTAACTCTGGCTTTTCTCAAAATAAGTAAGTAAATCTCCTTTCCTATGTATCTTAAATACAAGGAACGTGCTCAACAAATAATTCAAATATCAAAATGGTACTCTCTGAGCACAATGAGAGCCAAGAAAGCTGAAGAAGAAACAATTGCTGTCACATGCTTATTTTCATTTCACCTGACAAAAATCAAATATAGGTTCTTCTGAAAATTTCACAGATGAACCATCCATCTTCTGTCATATTCAATTTGACCTGAAAATAATCACTTTAGACAACCTCAATAAAAAGTTTCACACTGGGACCACATACTTATTCACTTGCAATCATCTCTCTTATTCTGTCACTGTATGAATACATTTGGAAAGATGGAAACATACACAGTCCCACTCTGAGTCGTCTTGTGACTAAGGTCCAATGGTACTGACAACTTCAATTCAAGAAATCAGCAAATACTGACAGAAGCTTCATCCAAAAAATTAAAAAGCGACTTCTACTCTTCAAAATATATCAGTATACCAGCTTGCTGGCTAGAAAAAAGAATCACTATTTTATATTTGATTTTAACTACAAACTAGACAGCCAATAAATTTCCCTCTAACCCAAATCACTTCACAGCTATTCCATGAGGAGGGAGAGGGCAGGGAATCAACTTTGAAAGGTATAAAATAAATCAAAATCGGTATATTTACTGCATGTTAGGCACTAAGAACTAGGAGAAACAAGAATATCTGAATCTTATGAAAATTGAGACTTTTCAAAGGAAGTACCTCCAGGAGTACCAGCCTGGGTCTGCCAACACTTACCTTTTTCTAACAAACTAAAGAAAATAATTCAGTAAAGGCTTGTATGCATTAGAAGCCACATTGAATTTTATTACTTCAGTAAAAAGCTGTCATAAAATATACGTATTTCTGCTCAAACAGGACTTAAGATTTTAAGTTTAAGGAACTTACTGTTTTTGGAAGAAATTATTCTTTCTACTTTGGGAGAACTTTAAGTTTTCTGAAATTCAACTACTTTCTTGGATTTTACATATTCTATTCTGTGGCATTGGAAGAGTTATTTCAGATAGGTGACTTGACTCTCAAACAATATTCCTTTGTAAACATGTAGCATAGCCACTGCTTATGAATCAATACCTTTGTTCTTTAGAAAAAGAATACACACTCTTGGGACTCCACAAATGCGTCAGCATTAGATTGGTGAGCACACATTTATGTTCTAAAATTAAAGGCTTGTCAATTGCACTTTTAAAAAGTTATTTAACAGTCTACTGGGAAGCAATTAAAATCTTACCTCCAGGGATCTGACAGTCGCCTGCATCTCAGCCAACTGCCGCACCTGTATTCTTTGGATATTTTCTACCTGAGCACCAGAGTTCTCTTTTTCAGCTCTTAATTCTGCTACTTCAGTCTCCAAACATTTTAACTTCTGACACAACCGGACTTTTTCTCCAATAAGTTGTTCTACTTGTTTGCTATCTTTCGCAGGATCAACACTAAGCAGCTGGTTATGTAGTTCTTCTTTATCTTTCTCCAGCCTGGCAATCTAATAATAATTTGACAGAAAGCATACAGCTTAAATTACTGAATTTTTAGTCATGAACATGCTTAACAAGTCAGTAAAATAAAATTAAAAATTATGCAATATGAACGCTCAGGTGGTAAAATGAAGTAAAAGGAAAGACTCGAAACTGTCACACACTTCATCCTGTACTCAGCAAGACTCCAATGAAAGGACATTTTCCTTCTCCCCATGATGTCCAGCACAGAACTTAATCAGCTGCTGACTAAAATTCAAAATTACAAATAATGCTATAAAATAATGAATTAAAGTACATTAAGAAATCTAAAGTTTATCGAACATTACAGGGGTTCATGTAAGACCTAAACGCTAACTACTGCTAAGCTTCTCATTTGGCAGTAATTGTGCACTACATCCACACTAACAAAATTATCTATTTCAAGGCAACTAATGAACACCAAAGCTACTTGTCTGTGTAAATACAAATGTGATCAATTAAAGTATTTAAATGATAGCTGAGTATTTGCTAAAGTCTTAGTTGTAATGATGGCTTAGTTCTTATTTCTTAGATTCAATAAAGAACTGTACATGGTTACTCCCAGGCACATGCTAAAGTTACTGAGTAATCTAGAGAGCAGAGACACCAGTCCCTTTGTCGTTCATTCCTATTATCATTGCCAGACCCCATGGGCTCTCAAACTGCTTCCTAACCTCAGAGGCACTTGCTTGGTTCCTTGTTTCCACATTTCAGATGGCCAAGCAATCAGGACAGAACTCATTCTTCCCTTCTCGCTCTCCCCACCTACCAATGCCCTACCATCACCACCACCACATCTCTTTGTATTCACTGAACTTCATAGGATTCAACTTAAGGACACAATTCAACAGTTTTTGTAGTCAGGATGAATTTCAAAGACTCAACTCCCAGCCAAAAGGGAATGCTGTGCAACTTAAGCAAAAATGGCCTGAGACACAGAGCTATGTATGAATCTCAGAAGTGTGAGACCTCCACTGTGGAGTAGGCTGTTTTCTTCATCTATAAATGGTATACTGAACTAGGGGTCCTCTACAGAAGGAGAGAGGGAGAGACAGAGATCTTCCATCAGCTAGTTCACCTCCTAAATGGGCGCAACAGTTGGAGCTGGGCCAATCCAAAGCTAGGAGCCAGGAGCTTCTTCCAGGACTCCCAAATGGGTGCAGGGGCCCAAGCACTTGTGCCATCTTCTGTTGTTTTCCCAGGGGCATTAGCAGAGAGCTGGATCAAAAGTGGAGCAGCCGGGGTGAGAACCAGCATCCATATGGGATGCAGGCACTATAGGCTGCAGCTTTACCCACTAGGCCGCAATGCTGCCCCACCCCCTCATTTTTTAAAGATGTGTTTATTTATTTGAAAGGCAGAGTTGCAGAGATAGAGGCAGAGGCAGAGAGAGAAGGATCTTCCATCTGCTGTTCACTCTCCAAATGACAACAATGGCTGAGGCTGGGCCAGGTTAAAGCCAAGAGCCAGGAGCTTCATCTGTGTCTCCCATGTGGGTGCAGGGGGTCCAAGCACTTAGGCCATCTTTCATTGGTTTCCCAGGTGTGTCAGCAGGGAGCTAGATTGGAAGTGGAGCAGCCGGGAAACGAACCCACGCCCATATGGGATACCAGCACTGCAAGCAGCGGCATAACCTGCTAGGCCACAGCACCAACCCCTTAAGATTCTTTTCAGTCTTAACATAGATTGATTCTATCTTGGTTTTGGACATGCTGAATTAAAGATGTCAATTGGAAATACAGAGAGCTATCCAGTAGGCAAATGCCATTTTCCCCCATCAAATAAAATTTATCCTTGACGATAACTGCAGTATTCACAGGCAAGTGTTCAAAAGCCTAATTAATAAGTATCTCTCTCCGATTTTTCATCCCATACTCTACAAATGATCATTACCCTCTGGTTTGGTCCTTCACTACTTTTTTTTTCTCTGTAGTTTTTTCTTGAGCTGGCTGTATTACTTTATTTAAGTTACACTTTCATTCTGATATCAGTTTAAATGAAGGGTTTGAGCTGAATTATCTTTAACACACTATTTCACTTTTGTAAAAGGTAATCCATATATAATTTTAATGTGCTACATTAGTGTGTGACAGCTCAGGAGTGAATGTGCAACCCCGGTTCAGAAAACGGTGCCCTTACTGGGTACTCATTACTATGTATCAAGTATTGATTTAAGGGCTCTACCTATGAAATCAACAGTGACACAATTTTCTCATACAATACTCATTTTACAATACAAAGTCACACAGCTAATGTTTTCCTATATTATCCCTCTCTCCAGCAGTTTTAAAAGGCATTCAAATGGTAGCTAAAGTGATAGCTGAAGCTCTGATACTGGATGACAAGTAGCTAATTGCACAGTCAAGATTACATTACATGTTTATGACTTCAAAACCAGAGCTTATTATCAAATGATTCTTAACCAAAACTGGTGATCATTGCCTTCTAATTTCTCTACACAAAAAATATTTACCTGGTACTTACTATATACTCGGCACTGTTTTGGACAGGACACAACGCAGCAGACGAGCAAACAAACCAACCTCTGCTGCTGACAAGCTTTTCACATTCAATCACCACCATGACACCCTCTTATCCACTAATTGGGCAGGAATCTTAGATACGTCCTCAGGTCTCTCCTCTTCCTGTGCTCTCAATCACCTTCCCGATGTCTTCAGTTTGTTGTTTTCTCGATCCTTCCTTTAAATTTCCATAAGGTTTTCTTTGACTTTCTTCTGACAGTTATTATCCAAATCTGCCAGTATTGCAGTTACCTCTACATTAACTTTATTCTCTATAAACACCAGCTTGACAGGTAAGATGAAGTATTAACCAATTTCACTTTTCAAAAACTTGTTGAAATAAAGGAAATGGCAAAGAAACAGACCAAGGAATAGGAGCAGTGGTTGATTTCCTTTTCAAAACATGACGGTAGCACTCCAACTCCCCAGGGCATACAAAAGGGAAAGGTGGTACACCCTACTGCTCCATCCAGCTTTGTTTATTACCTTTACAGCACAGCACTAGAAAATCGGGAAGAGAGCAAGCTGTGGAATCAAACTGACGAGGTTCCTTTTTGTCTGTCAAACCTTAAAGTTATTCCTCTGCTTTATTCTGGCTTGTATCATTTCAAAAAGAAATCTGTTGTCGTTCGTATCTTTGTTATTCTGTACAAAGTGTCTTTTTCCTTCTGGCTTTTTAATTACACTTTTTATTTTCAGGTAACAGTCGGTTCATCTGCAATGTATTATTGCAAGGAATGATACAGAAATGCTATGCTTATGTCAATGGTAACACCCTTCTGTTTTCTGGAAGACACTGTATAGAATTGATCTTAACTTTTCTTTAAATACTTGATAGAATTCTCTAGTAAAACAGTTATTTGGGGGAAGTTTTTAAATTACAGGTTCAATTTTCCTAATAGTTATATATGCCTATTTAAATTACCTATTTCAAATGGAGTGAGTTATAAAGTCTGTGCCATTTTAAAAAGTGATCCAGTTCACATACACTGTCAAATATATTTGGGTAGAGTTGTTTACAGGGTTCCCTTAGTACCTTTTAAAGTCTGCAAGGTCATGAGGGAATATTGTTTCATTTCTGATAGAGGTAATGTCTTCTGTCTTTGTCAGTCTTGCTAGAAGTTTGTCAGCTTTTCGCTTCATTGATTTTCTCTGTTTTCAACTTTATTGATTTCTTCTCTTATATTTATTATGTCCTTCCTTATGCTTGCCTCAGTTTTATTTTTGATAACCTTTTGTAGGTTCTAGAGAAGAGAGCTTACTGACTTGATATTTTCCTTTTTTAACACATTCATTTAGTGTTATAAATATTTCTCTCAGCACTACTTTAGCTGTGTCCAAGAATTTTTCATGCCTATACTTCCATTTTCAATGTATTTTCTGAAATATCTCATTGCAATTTTTTATTGAAACTTCTTTAACTCAAATTATTTGAAGCATATCATTTCATTTCCCTGTGTTTGATAATTTATGTTACTTTTATGCTATTTCCTACTTTGATCCTTTTGTGATCTGAGAACTCGCTCTGGATAATTTCAAGTGTTTCAAGTTTCTTAAGGTTTATTTTAAAGCCGAGGATATGGCTTATGTTGCATAAGGGCACCTCAAAGAGTTTATGGTAAGATATAATTTAAAGTATGAGTTTATTTTGCACAAAAAACATTCGAATACATGCATAGTTTTTTCCCAATAGGCATATATCATATCATTAACAAAAACACTTTGCACCAAAAAAATCATACTTTTAATTACATTTTTGCATATATTTTTCAAAGTACCTTCCTATATTTAAAGAAACTTGGATACTTCAAAAAATGTGCTTGTGTGCTCGAGTGGAATACTCTGTTAATTAAATCCTATTCACTGATAGTGTTGAGTTCTTCTATATCCTTGCTAATTTTCTAATTTTTCTAGAAATTGTTGAGAGATGTGAATTAACCAAGTATACCTGTAGATTTGTCTGTTTCTATTTTATTTATATGAATTTTTGTTTCAGATTTTGTAGCTGTGCTTGGTACCTACAAATTGAGAATTCCCATATCTTATGGATTGACCTTTTGTGACATATCATTTCTTTCTCTTCTCCATCCTAACTGGGCTCTCCAAAAATTCATGGAAGGGGCTGGCACTGTGGCATAAAAGCGGGTAAAGCTGCCGCCTGCAGTGCCGGAATCCTATATGGGCACCAGTTCGAGACCCGGCTGCTCCACATCCAATCCAGTTCTCTGCTACGGCCTGGGAAAGCAGTAGAAGATGGCCCAAGTCCTTGGGCCCCTGCACCCACGTGGGAGACCTGGAAGAAGCTCCTGGCTCCTGACTTTGGATCAGCACAGCTCCAACAGTTCTGGCCAATTGGGGAGTGAATCAGCGGATGGAAGTCCTCCCTCTCTGTCTCGCTGCCTCTCCTCCTCTTTCTATGTAACTCTTTCAAATAAATAAATAAATCTTTTAAAAAATTCACGGAAAA